CAAACATTCTATGCATGTGATAGGTCTAGACTCCTCCATGTTTGGATCTTTTAATAGTTGGGCCTTTAGCAAATTGGTCACTTTGTATTGCAATGCCTCTTGTGCTTTTCTGAGCCTGCCTCTTGTCATAGGTCCACCTAAGTCTTGGATTGGATCTTGGTCTTGATCCTTCTCGTTATGGGCTTGGGCCTTTATGTCCACATCACTAAACCAGTTTGCTTTGAAAATGCAATCAAGGATTTCAAGTGGACCAAAGTCATGAATGATGAATTATTGGCAATCGAGAAGAATAAAACATGGAATCGAGGGCCAATTATCAAAATTACATGGATCGAGAAGACAAAAAGAATGATAAAGGATGTAGTAAGCATGAAAGAGTAGTTAATGTACATGATGACAAAGCCTTTGATTAATCGAAGGTCCGAAAAATTGCTTATTATTAGATCATCTGGAGTTATGCATAGAAACTAAGTAAAGCATAAAGGTTAATTATTAAAAATGATTTTCAATACACTAGAAAGCTTATTCACTGTATGAACGTTATACTAAAAGCAAAATAAAAGTAAAGACTTTGATAACCACTAAGTATGCATTATAATTTTGCATAAAAATGCATGTGCTTTAAGAAAATTTAAAAAACCTTAGCATAACCTACACTATATAGAGTTAACACTTGACCACATCTCTCAAATGGCTCTTTTAACGTGGAATTATAAATAGCATCTTAGTCATGCTATGAAGACTAATGCTTAATCATGAATACTCATACGTGAATAATTTATGTGAAGACATTGTTCTAATTCTCATAGAAAAATAATCTTCATGTCTATGTCTTAAAAGAAGTCATACTTGTACATTCTTCACCTCATATATATCTTTTAAAAGAAAGATAGTTTACACTTGCAATATTTTTCATTGTGTGAAGTTGAACGTCTAGCATACAAAAAAAATTGTCATATCCTCTTAACGAGAGTTAGAAACTTGTAACATTATCAAACATTTGTACAGAGACACTTGGAGAGGCTTCAAGTACTCGTTTGAGCTAGAAGTTGCTTGGTGTAAAATAATATTTATGTACTAAGAATAACCTTTGTACTTTTTTTTTAACTCAAGAGATGTTAAAGGGTAACTAAGAGTGACTTTGTATATTCATTGTAAGTCAAGAGTTACAACTAAAAATATTTGTTTTTGTAATTTGATAACTACAACATAACCTTCTTATAAAAATCAAATGTTTTACCTACTATTTGGTTTACTTGTTTACACATTCCATATTTTATATACTTATTTCTACAAAACATTTTTAACTATTACAAAAATATAAAATGTTTTATTAACTTTAGACGTTTCTTCAAATTGTCTAACTAAAATAGATTACCAAGTGATACTTTAGTCATCTAGTCATATTAACACTCTCATATGAGAGCTGGAGTAAGCAAATTTATCTGGGATCATATAACACTTTAGGTTAGCTAATAGTCCATTGCAAAAAAAAAAAAATTCTATTCATACTCACTATGTTTTGTGAAGTTAACCTTAAATTTCACATAATTGATTATGTGTTTAACCATAATTAACAAACACATAATCAACTATGGTCGAAGCATATATTCAATTATGAACTTTTGTATAATCAATTATGGTCATTCTTAATAAATTTCAAATATATAGTGTATTAGTATGTAAAAAGTATATTTATAACTTTTTATTATTTTATAAATGCATTTAGGTGAACCTCTCAAAAAAAAGTCAATAATGTGATGGTGTTAGGTTGACTTTTGAGGTCTTTCATTAGCCTCCCATGCATATCAATTATACATTTTCCTTTTCATCAAATTCATTGGTCTTTTCATCCAGAAGCATACTTTAATGACCAAAACAAATAAAGGCTTAATGTTGAACCTTGATTATATTATACACATATATATGGTCAAATGTCTAAGGGTTAGAAAAATGCATCTTACCATATCACTTGAACTAATATCTAATATCTATTATAGTCTTTTCAAAGTGCATGAGAATAAAAAAGACTTGTTAAAATTATATTATGTCATGGGTAGAAATGGCAAAATAGGCTACGTTTGGTAGGTCGGTCCACCAATCCATCTTAAATTATAAGGATGAGTTTGAAATTTTAGTCCGTCAACCCATTTTGTCTCATTTCACCTAGTTCGTCAATCCAGTAAGACAAAAGCGAGGAGCGAAGCTGACCTACTTTTAAAAAGATATTTATATATTAAAATAAAAATAAAAAGAATTATAATTTAAAATATTATATCTTTTGGTGTTATGTTGATCAAATATGTAAATATATTATAATGTTATAATTTAAATCATAAATATTAACAAAGTAATATTAAACTATTAATTATAATTAAACATTTTAACACAAAAATATAGTAATTTTCTCAATTTATTCAATAGAAGATATAAACTAATGAGTAAAAACTTAAAAAATATTCATATAATTAAGGATGTGTTTTTGAAACATATGAAAAAAGTAAGGTTACAAATAAGTTCTCAGTCAAATTGGTCTGAACAATTCTTACCTTCAAGCCTCCTGCGTTTAGTTCAAAATGATGTGTGTCGATTAAAGAAGTTCATCTATGAGAACACTCTAATACATAAGTCAATATCGAGTACAAGGATAATAGTAAAATAATGTATGAGTAGAAAATAAGAATATGAATGTGTGTATGTCAATAATAGAGTTATCTTAATTATAGGACTCTTTTCTTGTTATTTGATTTAACAAATAATATTATTTTCAATACCCAATTATGTTGATTATTTGGTGTTTCAAAATTTTCTTATTTACTGATTGAATTTATTCTTATTGATACTAAATATGTGCTAATTTAATATGATTAATTCTAAGAATCCTTTTTATTTTATACCACATATACAATTCATAAATTGGATAGATACAACTTTGTTCTAAGTCAATTCTCTTTTTTCTTACTCTTACAATTAATATTTCTAACTTTTACCCTAAACCTTAAAAAAAAATGTAAGTTTCAAGCTACTTATAAAATTGAAAGGAATCACCTTGATACATATTTAGATTAGCCAACATTTGATTTTGATTTTAGAAAATATATGAATATTGTACAAAGGTGTAACAACAATAGTCAATGTTTAGCAAATCATTCATTAATAATTAAGGACTTGTTAAGTATTCATATCACTATAGTTATATTTGACTCTCTATTCAACATTGATTATAAGATTTTTAATAAACATATAGGTTGTCTTTTGATTGAACATGTCAAACAAATAATTTTTACTTTGAATGGGAAGCATGGTGTTTGTGATGGTAATTTAATTAATTTAAATCTAATTTTTTTTACTTTAATAACTATTTTTTAATATTCTAACTTTTTTCTTCGGTTTCATGCAATGTTATTGAGAGAAAGAGGAAAGTGACAAAGATGGAAAAATTGAGTCAACTTCTTTTATGAGTGCATCTAATAATCTTGAAAAGAAATATACTCAAGGGAAAAATTTAACTAATAAAAAAAGAAAACATTTACTTTTAATTTTATTTTTTTTAATTAATTTTCTATCATTATAAGAAAATACTAATAATTGTCACTGGTATGAGTATAACAACATGTTAGAGTTGTTTGTTATTGAATCTTTTAACTTTGTTAATACTTAAACTAAGTATTTATTTGATTGACATGAATTTTAATTTCTTAGTGTAATGCATATTGACTTGAGATTGGTTATTTATTTTATTTTTTTTAGGCATATTAGTTTCTTTTATCTCTTTATTAGAGATGACAAAACAGGTTAGGTTCAGTGAATCAGCCTATCTGCCCTCTTTAAATTAATGGGTCAAGTTTGTAGTTTTACCTTATCCGTTCGTTATAGTCTATCATACTATCTTGACGGGTCAAGGATAGGATGAAGTGAGTTAACTTTCTTCTAAAAAATTATTTACATATTAAATTAAAATAAAAAAATTAATAATTTAAAATATTATATTTTTTGTGCTATGTTGTTAAAATATAAAATATACTATAATATTATAATTAAAATTATAAATTCTAATCAATTAAACTTAAATTATTTATTATAATTAAGTATTTTAACTCACAAATATATGATTATCTCAATCTATCCAATAAAAAATATTAATTAATGAGTATATATCTAAAAAGTATTCATATAATTAAAAATATATGACAAAATTATATGTGACAATGGTGAAACAACCCATTTCTTATCTATTTTCCATGAACCAATGATGAGATGTGACAAAATGAGAAGAGTTGACATATTTTATCAAGATTATCTAATTACCAATTATGTATGAATAGTTGAATTTTTATTTTTTTATCTATCATCAATTTTCTATATATTAAAAACTTGTCTTGTAATTTCTAATAAATTAATTATAAAAAATAAAAATAAGATTACCGAATATTACATTGGTTAAATTTAGGTTGAGTTTATAACTTTTTGAATTTAAATATTATAGGAAAAAAATCTAATTTAAATATTCTAATAACTCGTAATGCTTGGCTTCGAGAGTGTCCAAGTATAAAAAGAAGTCACGGATGTATAGATTGAGAAATAAATAATTATTTTTACAACTCGTATGTATTTTTCTATTAGACCCAAATTCTCAGTTGTAAAAACAAGGACAAGACTTTTGACAGATGAGTATTCAAACAAAAGACGTCTGGAGTGATAAATTCTGGACGATCAATATTCTACACACTTGCTTATCAGACATTAGCTAATTTTATAAATCAGAAATATTTAGACAAAGAAGATTAAGATGGGGTATTGGACACCCTTTAAGATCATCCACTTGTTCCGTTTTGAAAAGTCCATTTCCTTCACCTGTCCAAAAAGTCAAAGGCAATTCACATGATAGTATCTTTTCTTTGTTGTCTTATCTTTGCATAAGCATACATTGTATGCTCTCTTCTTTTTTTACTTTATGAACAAGAACCATGTGCAACTTATTAAATGCATCATATGCAAAATAGTTGTCACCGATACAGTTTGACGGTTCATTAGCTTCCCAAAAGAAAAAAGAGAAAATTTGAACACATCATCCACATCTCTTAACTGAAAACACATGCATCCCAGTTTTTGTTTTTTACATTTAATATCTGCCACCGCCACTCAGATATGTTGTAGACTGGTAGTAGGAACAGTATACAAACATACTTTTGCTGTGCTATTTAGCTCGTGCATGGAGAGAATGGGATGTGAAGGGGACAGAATCTTAACATCAAAACCGTGTTACAATGGCATCATTGGTGGAACATTTTCCTGGTCAAGCTCGGTCAACATAGCCCTTTTGGCTGGCTTAGAGAAGCTTACACAACGATTTTATTGCAAGGGATTCTTGGAAACAAAGAAAATTGTTACTTTCTTCTTTTTCTTTCATTTTTTTTTCATCTTACATCATAAAAGAGCAGTAATTTGTGTGATCAAGGCCTGCCACATGTGGACTTTGACCTGAAAACACATACACCATGTGGATCTCTTTAATCAACTATTTACACGCATCATGATGACAGCTTATATCCACTTAGATGGATGTGCAGAAGCTCGCCTTTTGCGCAGCTCATATTTGTTGTAGTACTGTAGTTTGTCTGGCCGAGTGATACAATTCCAGTGTTATGTTTATACACTAAACACAAGTACTATAAGCATTAAAAATGACCATTTAACAGTTCCAAGACAACCTGCAGAAGCTGCAAAAACAGGATATTAGTGTGCAAGAAACAGTATTTCAATATGGATTGATAGCCATATATGTTGTATTCCAGCAGCATATTTGAAAAAGCTACTTCAGAAACACTTTTAGTAAAGGAGAACACGAAGAATGAATAAAAATAGTTTATCCAAACAATTCCTAAGAACTAAAGAGTTATCCTTCTTGCTGGTTAACCTAGAATTAGATGCAAAAGCTTGCAGAATTCGGATACGAGAAATATCCAACAAAGAGTTGCACACATGTATGACTCAACTAAAATATGATACTTAAGTTCCAAGTTTCAAGCAATCAAGAAAGATGTGCTCCAATACAAGAACAAATTCGAAAACTATTTATTACTGAACATACTTACATGATGATATCCCAGGAATATGAGTGTGATAATGTTGTGGGGCAAGTTCATTCTTAGGAGTGTGCTCCGCATGAGCTAAAGCTACATTCTGCAAAGGACTCAAGGCAGGTACTGAATGAGAGACATGAGTTGGGGGTTCAATATGCATTTTTGGTGATGCAGCAGGAACAGGATGATGTGGATTTATTATAATAGGGGCAACTGCAGGTGTTGGAGGATGAGCGTGCTTCCCAGACTTATGGGTAGACCTTTTTCTAATACCAAACCGGCAATTAGGAGGCTGAGATTGAGAATTTTTCCCTGGTGAAGGTGCACTTTCTGCGGCAGTAGGAGAACCAACCTTGGGTGGAGTCACACCCTTGCTGGGTGTGGGTGTAGGTGCAGGTGTATGTGTATGTGTATGTGCATGTCTAGGTGTAGGTGTTGGTGCAGGTACAGGTATAGAGGGCACGGGAGAAATTGCAGGAGATAGATGAGTCTCATGGTGATGATGATGATGCTGGTGTTGATGATGCCGGTGATGGTGTGGAGAATGTTGCAGAGGAGCAGGAGCAGGTGACCATGCAGAACCACCACCATCATTGCCATGAAGAGAGTGTTGCAAGATGGATGAAAGTCGGACCTGCTTAACCCTACCAAATTCAGTGTGATTCAAGCCTAGATTATGTGGTCCCATGATGGTTTGGGCCAATTGCTTTAGCCTCTCTTTCCATGGAGTAATACCAACTGCAAGTAGAACTGTTGACTGGACAAGAGTAGGAGCATCAACTGTTGAACCTTCAGAATTCGATAAGCTGATATACAAGTTCTGCAATCAACCCAAAAACCCAATAAAAATCACCATGGAGCATCCTATGACGAGTATTTCATCATTCAAACTGAGTATAATTAATTGTATTTACGTATAAAGAATTCCCCATCTAGGACAGTTTTCTGCAACACCAATAAACACAATACTCATGCTAGCAAACAAGCTTGCTCATTTTTTTCAATATGTAATGTTCTTTCTTACATAGTCCAATGTCAGACATGATTTGCTTAAGACAGAAAAATCCTAGAACAGAACTCTTACAGGAGAACAATGTGGTGACCATTGACACAACATATAATAAGATCTGAAAGTTGACCTCAAACAAAAGCTAGACAAAATGATACCATAAACAGTAAAAATAGAAAGACAAACCTCAAACGATGTCAGATATAACCCAGACTTTAGTTGACTAGTCAGCTCCTTAAAATTGGATTGTATTTGATAAATGGGGAAATTCAATTTAAAGCTGAATTTTGCTTGCCCTTTCTGCAGAGGAAATGCATTCTGCTGTGGAATTATAGTAATTCCTCCCTTCAATTTCAGCACTTCAAAAGAGTAGGGATCTCCGAACAAGGATGAAGAAGTAAGCTGGAGAATTGATTGGTGTATAACCAGGGATGTAAATGATGCTCTTATCAAACTGATGACTGCTGAGGACATTTCTGTGTCTTTATCGTCAGAATCAACTGCAAAAACCACTCTTGTCTTGTTCGGCCCAGGTAAGGTTTCTAGAAACAACACAGCTACCTGGATTTTTTTAACAAAAAGAGAAAGGTATGAGTGTGTAAACATTAATAAAGGATATGGAAGGGAAATAGTAAGAGAGGTACTTTGCTAGAGGGAGCATCTATCTCATCAAAAATTTGATCAGCAAGCTGAAATTTGTTATTTTCTAGCAAAGAAACAGATTTATTGACAATGAAGCTTGCAACAATATCATGATCTGCAAATATAAACAATAGCATTAAGCAAATAGAGCTTAAAGCATTAAAAGAGTTTGACTTTCAAGGTATTGTTGTCATAGTATAACTCTAAGTATGTCAATGCATGAGTAAGTAATAGAACTTCACTAGCAATGTCTCAAAACTTATCCATAAATTGTAACATACAGATGCATGAGGAAAATATAATAAAGCACGCTAAACTGGTAAAGTGGGTGGAGATGCTTATTATAACTTTTTCAAGAGAAAGAGAAATTGAATAATGAGATTTGAAGAATCATGTTATACAGAGGTACTACACAAAGTGTTATATGTTATATAGCCTATTCATTCAATCTTCCATCAGTAAGAAAATATCTGTGGCAATGAACACTTAGAATCTCTTATGGTGAAGAATATGCTGAGCACATTGGCTGCATTATGAGGTAGAATTTTGAAATGACATCTAGTGGCTGGGCACATGGTGTCACAATGTCATGGTAATACTATTATGGCCTTGTAACTAAATTACCCAAATCAAGCAAGTTTCAAAATCTCAACTTTTCAAGATTACAAACAAAACTAAGAAAAAAAAACTATCAAATAAAGTCTATTGACATATTCCCATCTCCAATCACAGCAAAGCCAATGCTTGGACAGACCAAGTCATCCAATTGACATCAACAGAAGTCATCATAAAATAGCGTCACGCAGCCTAAAACAGCAAAATTGTTTAATGCATATCCATCACTAAGAAAGAAAACCCCTTTCGATAGGATATCATTTACAACCATAACTCGTTTATAAACATCTCAAAAGAATAAATATACCTAGTTTGTAATTTGTGAAAAAATACATTCAAAATAAACAATCACCAAATATAGCAAATAAAGAAAAATAAATAGAGCTCACACAACTCCAAATCTCCAAAACCATTTTAAAAAAGGAACTAAACAAGCTCATAAAAATCCTAAAACCTTACTTAAAATAGCTATAATTAAAGTAACTTCCCAAAACGAAGAAAACTCGATCCGACAAACAAGCTCTCTTTCCAACAATTTCCAAATCCCTTCAATTGGCCAATTAACAAACCCGTCGTAATTAAGAGACGAAATAACCAATTAAAACACCCCCATTTAAATAACTAACCAAAATAACTGAATTTATTTCCTGCGGAGACATTTATCATGCATAAAAACCTCTAATTATTTTTTTCCTTTTTTGTTCTTGCATACTAGACCATCCTGCTGAAACCTATATGTTATAAGACCATAAAACTAGTTAAACTGTATCAACCCCGTGTCAGTTTTTCCACACCTTCACTGATAAAATCTAACCCAAAGCTCAAAATTAAATTATTTTCACCCGCATTTCTCCAACATGCTCCCAAATCGGGTAAACCTAAAACCTCATTTCCTCCGAAGCAAAAACAGAAACAGATCTAACCCCACGAAACAATGCCGCCAGCCACAAGACCCCACCTTTGAATCTGGAACCTCCATGCAGGTTCCTCCGATCCGCGAGGCTCAGAAAAGGGGGCAACCAAAACGCCGCGGAGAGGAACAGAGCGACCGACATGACCAATACGAGGATGCATCTGGTGCCAACAAGCTTCCGAATCCGAGAACAGCGGCACCGACACTCCGCATTCTGCGGCGAATCCTCAGATGGAGGCAGAGGCTGCTGTTCTTCTTCGCTCTTTCCCATTGCAGAAGAAGAGGAAGGGGGTCACAACCCATTCGCATTGGGTACACCCATTGGGAAGCAAAGCTCGAAAATGGGATCTTTTTTCAAGAGGGAGGGGGTGGGGAAGATTAGAAGCTTGTTAGGGTTTGAGGGAGATGGCTGTGACCGGTAGAAGAAGATGAAGAAGAAAAGGGAGAAGATGAAGAAGGGACAGTGATTAGTGAAGTAATAACTTGTGCAGCAAATTCGACAGCTAGTGTCATTTTCTGTTTTGGAGAGAGATGGCGTTGATGTTTTGTTTTTTATATTTTGAAAAATTGGAGTGGAAGCAAAGAGGAAAAGAAAATGCCTTGGATTTTTATTTGTTAAAAATCTCGCACTAAGGTATACGGGAGGGAGAAATTAGTAAGAGGGTGCAAGTGTGACGAGGAAGAAAGCATTTGGTGGAGCAGTGAGGTAAGGTTTGACTCTTCGAAGTTAATATGCGCCACGTTTTCTTCTCCCTCATATTTTGCTCGTGAAAGCAGATAAGGATTTTAGAACACAAAATTGATTTAATTACTTTTTAGTCTATAAAATCCATAATAATTCTTAAATATTTTAATTTTTAAATGAAGTCAAATATTATTTTTAATTCTTTAAATTTATTATATAAAGTCTAAAATCATAATTTTTTTTAATTTTAAATAATTAAAATATTTTTTTATAAATTTATAAGACTAAAAAAACTACAAATATAATTAAACCTTTTAAAAAAATAAACTAAATTACACTTATTAAAAAATTAAATTAAATACTTTATAGAGCATGAGTAGTCTTGTGTGAATTTGATTTTAATATGCTAAAATCATTCTTTTGTTCATTAACTGGTCAAAATAATATATTTCTTTTATAACCATTAAGACTTCTTTGGTGTAAGAACAAACTTATAACATCATTTAAGTATTTTTAATGTGATAACATGAATGGTTTGATATGAAACATTTATATTAGTAAAAGTGGAGAGATTTATCGTGATTTATCAAAAAAGTCTCATATAATATAACATTCAATATAAACAAAAATTATAAATTATTTTCCTCTATTCATTAGGATATTTTTTTTAATAAAAGCAAAAGTGACAAGATATTAGGTATCAAAATTGAAATAAGATTGTCTAAAGGTTATAAATGAAGAGGTGTATATTATTTATGGGTATGACTTTAGATTTGATATTTATGCATGTATTTTTAACAAATTTAAGAAGAGATCTTAAATAATCTCTAAAGCTGTTATAATTCTCAAAATATTATTAAAGTATTTGTTTTTTATATATTTTTTATAAGTCTCTTAAAAGAATCTTTTAGGAGTATATAATATTTTATTTCTTAAAAAATATATAATAAATATATATTATTTATATTTTATGTATAATCATATTATTTAATTTTTTATTATTAATATTAAATGACTAAGATTAGAGGGTAAATTCAAATTATCCAATAAATCAAATTTTAAACCTTATAATATTAATTTTTAATCTAGTGATATTAAGGGGATTAAAATAAACTTAGTCTGGTCAACCTACAAAATCTAACAAATATGTCAAAAAAATTTGTAATTTAAATTAAACTAAACATATTTTTTTCTTGTCCTGTTTAGATGATGACTTATGTGACTTAAGATAGACTAGTCAATAGACCTATGTACTAGCCTTGATTTACAGAATAATAATTATATTTTTAAATAAAAATAAAAATAATATTATTTTATTAAAAATATATATATATTATAAATTATTTTGATAATGAATTTACTTATTACGAGAATAAGTTTATAACAATCACTTATCTCAATATTTAATAATTAAGATTAATTATTAATTTAGATCAATAATTTATTAAAGTAAGAATGATGATAACAAAAAATAAGTTTTTAACTCTTATATGAATTTATTCTCTTATAATTTATATATTAAATTATTATATCTTAATAATAATTAATTTTATTAATATAATTTAAATTTTAAAAATACTTTCAATTTTATTTTTAATTAATTTTTTTGGTATATATATATATATCAATATTTTTTTATTTTCAATTAAGGCAAATTTGCCTCATTAGCCTATTGGTCTAACAAATGGTTAAACTATGTTAAAAATTATGATTCCATTTTAAAATACATTTTTTAAAATTATAAGATCAATTATAGTTTCAATTAGGACAAGTTATCCATTTTTTTACTTAACCTATAGGGTAAAGTCCGACGGTCTTTTGACAACTCTAAGTGACACCTTATCATAATAAAAAATTTGGAAACCCTAACTAAAAGCATATATACAACACAAAAGTAAAATTAAAACGATAGAGCAAGATCACTTGAAACAACTAACAAATGCAGTAAAAGAACAAAGACTAGGTATAACTATATGTTTCTCTTGTACTCTTAATACTATTTTGAAAAGTAGATCGACCAATTTAACCAAGAAATGATCTAGAAATCGGTCATTTGTTTCCAAATAACTGAATTTTAATTAAATTTGGATAAAATAAAAAAAATCAGTTAAACTAAAAAAATTATTTGAGTTTTTTTTTTGTCAAATCAATTTTGGTAAAAAAAAATTAAAGATCACATTTTTTTAATATAATTATCTTATTTTAACAATTACTCATTTTACACTCTCTAATATATTCTATATTTGTAATCTTAATTATCATACGGTGATCATAATAATAATCTTTATTAATTTTTTCTTTTATGAAAAAATATTATTACTAATGAACTTATTGTACACTTATTATATTATAAAAATATTATTTTATTAAATCCAATTGTATCCAGTTAAATCTTTAAATCTTAAACTCATATCTTCACCGATTTAATGATTAGTTTAATTTTAAAAACATTGATTCCTAGGTAATGACCTTGAAAACACTCAAAGAAAGCTCTAAAAATAGTTTTCTAACTCAAAAACATTTCTCACTCAATATTGGAAATGATATGTGAAAGCAACATTTAAATTAAAATGCTTGGAAAAGATAGAGTTATATAGAATCCAATCTATCAATTTTAATAGATTAAAACTATGTTTTAATCTATTAAGTTTACTTAATTGTAAAATTAATCAATTAAAATTGTATTTTAACAAATTAAAATAGAAGAACTCAAAATTTCTTCTTAAGGTTCCAAAACATTTTAATTGATTAAAAGTTCAATTTAATATATTAAAAGCAAAACCTTTTGAACTATCCATAATTTTAAGTTATTTTAATCGATTAAAATAATTATTTAATCAATAAAATATAATATAAGAATTTAAGATTTTTTAATCAATTAAAAATTTCCTAATCTAAATATAAGTTCTAAAACTTTTTCAATAAGCTTTCTAATAGTAATTAAAGATAAACAACTTAAAAGAATCTTATATGTAATGTTAATCAACATGAACCACATCTTAAGTATATATAATTCTTCAATCTTCAAGGAAAAGTTGGATTTGTCAAATATAGCATTACTGTAGCCAATAATTTTATCCATCTTTAGTAGTTCCAACAACCTTCTCCTATTTGATGAAAACAATTTATTTGTCTAGTTGAGCAAAAAGTCAGCATTAATATATGCATAAACCTCTTCCAAAACAAAAGGTATACATGCACTGCATATCATAATGTATACATACATATATTCTCCTAATTGACTTCATCAAATTGGAAAATAAGCAAGATTAAGGCATATTGTTCAAACGTATAACATACACAAGAAAGAAAGATAGATAAAGAATATTTTGCAAATTACATATCTAAAGGAACAAAACAACAAGAAAAACACAATCAAACGTATTAAGATGTACGTAGATGATTTGTAATCCTCCCAATGTCCTCGTGTAAAGTACATATTCACAAGTTGACCATGAATTTCCTTTAATTGGTTGCCCATATGTTAAAAATGTGCAATACAAATCTCATGGTGCGTCCTTTGTCCAACACCCATGGAGTCCATCCTAGCTAGTATCATCGGTTAAAATGGAGAAAAAGGGGTGTCACTATTTACAAGAGGCACATATGTGACAATATCAATGACTTGTTTGCTTTAGTGTTGCTCAAACCAACTTCAATAATGTCTTAAGGAGCAGCAAAATCATCTTCTTCATACTTGGAAAGTCAACAATCATCAATCTTAACAGATCTTATTATGAGAAGAGTGACTTTGGGAACAAATCAAGTTATAATTTATCTAATTTGTTGTTTATTTATATAGGACTTTGACATTTCAATACTTTTTTGTTATATAAATGGACTTAAAAAATCCAAAAAACATAAGTTCGCTTTTAGTTATAAGATTTAGAAGCATTTTCTCTGTAGTCCTTAACTTATATTTTTCAAGTTCTCTACATTCTAAATTCTAATGTACTACATTCAAGTTTTGCAACTCCAATAATTGTTAATAAGAACTTTAAATTGCTTTTTAATGGCTTTTTAGACTTTTAGGTTAATTTTCCAATATGAATTTTATTTCATTGAGTGATATTGATTATTTTATGATTCTAACCATTTATAATTCATTATAATCAATATAATTAAGATTATTTGGTTAAATTTGATCAATAACATCATAAAACAATTCTAGATTATCTGGTTATTTTGTTTCGAATATAATAAAATAGAAGTTTTCGAACTTACAGATAACACTTACTTTATGAGGTGTATTTAAGTATAAACAAAAGCTTAAAACATGAGAGAAAGAATGGTACACATTATTGTAAGAATTTTAACATAATTTATCCATAATTTAATTAGAGTGTGATTCTTGCTTATTTTTATATTTTAAAATATATTTTGTGTTATCTTGATTCTTTAACACTTTAAATGTAAGATTCATTTTATTTTTTCCTCACTATTTTATTTTAAGGATCCATTAAAGAGTTTACTTTACTCTCTCTTTTTTTACATTATTTTGTTTTTACTTTGTTTCATTATTTCTTAATTTAGTTTTTCACTTTGCTTAGAAATGCACAAGCTTAAGTGTGGATAATTTGATGACC